CGGGCGAGGCGGGGGTCCGGGTCGGGCCCGCCAGCGCGCACAGCCATACGCCGCACCCAGCGATCACTGTGAAGCGGTTCCACGGAGGACGGCTTGTTCGTTCCGGCAATGCCTGCTTGCGTTCCGTTGCCGCAGACACTTCCTTCTGTTGTGTTCTGGTGTTTCACACTTAGGATCCTGAAAGTCAATGCACTCGAATCGATGGCTAGAAAATTGTACGAGCCCCCGCAGGAGCACAGTGCCTTGAATTCCCGCTTCTCCGTTCCAGCTGGGAAGAGATGTAGAATTATTGGAAAGGTGCGTTTTATCTGCAGTCCGCTTGGGAGCTGGAGTTCTTCTTGTTCGCAAAGGTATTCAAGGTTTCCAGCTGACGTTCTTCATCAGTTCCATTCCGCTGTAAATGCTTTTATTTCAATTCATGGGTTGAGTTTTTGTTTCTGAAGCTTTTCAAAAAAATAATAATAATAATTGTGAGGTGAGGTTTGTTTGAGATGCCGATCCAAAAAGTGTCTGTGTTTGTACAAGGAGCAGTGAAATGCACATTTTAAAATGGGAGCGTTTACAGAGTGATCCACACAAGTTGTATGTAAGGACAGGTAACGGCTTCGGGTAGTGCAATCCATTCCCTTCCTCAGTCTTCAGTAAAGTTGTTGCAGACAGCAACTTATTTCTCTGGCAGGCAGGCAAACAGTTTTCTTCTAGATCAACAGCAATCTGGATTACATCTTCTTTCCCCTACTGGGCTTTTATAATTGAGTTACAAAACATGCATGGATTTGTAATTTAAGTGGAAAAAAAAATCTAACTGAAATCTTGATTGTAGAAGAATGCGCCTCGAGGTCGCTGTAAGAACCGTGTAAGTACCGCACGCGCGTGTCTTCCGCCTTCGGCTCGCCCCCCGAGGCGACGAACGCTGTTTTGCCGCTGATGTGCCGGCGGTGCGCGCGCTCAAACGGAATAAAAATGTGAAGCTGTCCTTTTCCGTATCTGCTGCTTCAGTTTTTGCAGTCTCACCACCTTTTTTGTCTGAAAGTTTGGGGTCTGGTTGCGTTTTGGCTTGAAGTTTTAACGACAGTCGCGCCCTGGGTGGCGTGGACACCTCTCTGCTGTTGGAAAGACGCTTTTTGCCCGTGTTGCCGCGCGCAGAGTCTCCGCCTGCACCTCTCGCTCTACAGGCACAAGATCCCCGCCGAACCCGATGCGCTGACGGTAAGTCTTCCGTCGCCGCGAAGCGCAAAGGGGGAGCATCCCGGCGATGGCGTTTCGTAGGGTCCGCTGCCGGGCAGGGGGGTCCCGCGCTGCCAAGCTGTGAATTGTGTCATTCTGTTCTGCTCTGAGCATTCTGTCTAAATTATTTGGTTTGTACCCTTTGGATATATTATTCCATCAATTCAGTTGGAATTGGATTTTATAGACGATTACGCAGAGTCTTCTGCTCAGGCGAAATACCGACTGCAGTAAGAGATTTCTGTTCTCTGTAACATGTACCTTTGATTTGTTTGGGTTTTCTAGATTCACGTCTGTATGCTTCATGAGCAAACATGGAAAAGATGTTCTCACTCCCGTGTTCCTTCGGCTTGCACTGAATCTGACCGTTTATGTCGCTACTGCCTGTTGTATAGCCCATCCCCTGTACACTGACAAAGTCAGCGGCACTAAAAACCCCGAGAAATTGTATAGATGAAAAAGAAGAAAAATAAACATTTTGTGCTTGAAAACTGTGTGGAAAACCCAGTGTTTTTCTAAAATGTAGAACTGTGTCCGTTGCCAGCTGTCCCGGGTAACCCTGCGCTTGTTTTCCAGACTCCTGCCCCTCGGTTTGGGTCGAAGGAGCAGCTGCGATGCCTCCGGCGTCTCTCGGGTTCTGCCCGTGACCGCTGCGTCCCGCCGCTCGCAGCCGTCGGAGGGAAGCGGTGCTCCGGAAGTCGCCGAGTGCCGCCCCGCCGGTCACGTTGCCCGAAAGCCCTGCCCGCTGCCGTGCTCGCGGTGTTACGCTGCTACGGGGCCGAGCCGACGGGACCGTTGAACGGGTGCCATCAAGCAGATGGTGTCTTCGGCGTCGCTGGTGGTGCACGTGAGGATGCAAGAGTTTGGTGGGCGGTGAAGGAGGCCCTTGGGCTGTGTCTCTCCGATGCTGCGAAGTCCTGGGGAAGCCCTTTTAGCTTGATCCCGGCGCCATTTCAATGCGAGGAAGCGAAGAGACGCAGGGCAGCCCCGCCGCGAGCACCCTCGTGGCTGCTCCCCAAGCCAGCGGCCGCGCTGCATGCCAGGCTGAAACGCAGATTTCTAGCGGGCAACTCCCTAACTGTTGCGACTTCAGCTGGTGCTGGGGCCACGTAATGGCTCTGAGGTTGCCATTTGCATTTCGATATTCATGATTTTAATTTTCTGATAGCCATCCCGGCTGCCATTCGTCTGACTATTACCTTCAAGCTGTGTTTGGTTACCCTCCATCGTGCCAGTTGTGTCAAAGGGTGCTTTGAGCCTCAGCAGCAATTAAGCAAGCGACGTGAGAGGAAATAACCAGCACAACTTCTTGAGCAGAAGGTGAGCAAAGGAGCGAGAGGGGCCCGAGGGGTCCGCGCTGCACCGTCGGAGGTGGGGGGTCTGTACCCAGAAAGACATTCCCCCGCAGATCCCACAGCTGGACTGATTTTATTCCTGACTCTGAACATTGCTTTGGCGTGCCGCAAACGGGGGTCAAACCCGCGGGGTGGAGTTCCTCACCTCGTCGGCTGCAGCCGTGCCTGGTAGCTCTGCCATCTCCCGACGTTCCCAGCACTGCTCTGCCAGGACACAGGTGAAGTCAGTGCAGATCCTCAGCTTTAAACACGATGTTTCGATAGGGGAGGTGGCAGATCCCTCAATTTTCAATCTCTTAGAAGTTATAGAAACTTCATACGAATATTGAAAGAATTTTTTAAACTGCCAAGTCACGCACCCAGTGATTTGGAAATGCCAAATTGGGTTTGCCCATCCGCCGTTGGCTTGGGTTCCCGGTTGCCGTACGTCAGGATGGAGTATCTAAGCGTGTCATTGCATCCTGTTTTGCCACGGCATCCCCGGCTTGCTTGGCGTGCGGGTGGGTGGCGAGGGGGGCCGCCGGCGCGGCTTCTCTGCCGTGGGGAGGCGAGGCAGGTAGCAGGAGGTGGTGGGGAGAAACGTTCGAGTGGTTTAAGCCTCCTCTGCACATCGTGAGTCAACCTCCCTGACACGGATTTCATGCAAAAGAATGATGTAAAATTGTCCCTTGCGTGTTTAACTTTGGGCTTCATCCCACAACTTTCAAGAGGAAATATTACTTAACTATGACTTTACACTCCAAAGCGCTCCTTTTTTGCTCTCCTGCATAACTTCTTTACTGTTCTCTGAAAGACTTGACATTGGCTGGTGTCAAAGACGAGATGAGGGATTGACCAGGCCACACGTGACAGTCTCCTTGCTCCTTTGGAGATATTCATGTTTGGGAAAAGAGCATTCTCATGAGAAGCGGCAGCGTTTCTGAAATGAGCTTCTTAATCACGTTGCAGGTTTTGCCGTTTGGTAGTTGTGGAAGGAAATCCCTAATGCTTTTGAATCGGTCGTTAGTGTAACTTGGCTTTGTCAATGGTTGCTCTTTCTCTTCAAGGATTTTTTTTGTTTGTGGTCCCCGTGCGCTATTTTCCATTCTGAGAAGATTCAGAGTTTTTCCAGACAAGCCCCGTGGACTTAGCACTTGGTGGGTCCGTGCTGGTGTTGTTCAGTTAGTGCAGGTCTGAGCTGGAAGAACATCCATCCTCCTACCTTCTTTGGAAGCTGGTGTTGGAGAGTTGGAATCAGAATTCTCCCTTCTGAAATTATTTGATGTCAGCGTTGCTTTCCCTTCTCCCCCCCCAATTAAGCAAAGGGTTCAAGTCTTTTTGACGAAGACTGATGTCTCCGATGTCTGCTAATACAGGAGAACCCTCCCTAGTTTTCTGCCTTGCTGCCAACTAGCCCCCTCCTGAGTGTTCAACAGATGCTGTTGAAGTGTTGGCTTGGAGACAGGAGTCGCAAGCGAGATCGTTCGTGACTGGGTTTAATGCCTTCGTAAGGTTCCCTGGCGCTCTCTGGTTCCTCGCCTGCCCTTCTCAGTCCCGGGTTGCTGGTGATGCTTGTGGAGAAGGACAGCAGTGCTGGAGAGGCGCCTGGTTGCTGAATGTGGGCAAGGTCTCTCCACAGAGTGTGTGAGGAGGGAGTCCACGCGCTCTTCGCTGCAACAGGTGGATGAACACCTTGCTGTGGGACTGAACTGATAAACCGGCGTGGAATTCCTTGCCGTGGTTACTTATCATTGACTGAATCCTCCAGGAGCACTGCTTTGATTTGGGGTGCTGGGCGGTGGCTGGCTGGTCCTTGGGCAAGGCTGAGCTTCAGCTGGGTGTTTGGGCAGGCTGTCTGGTGTGCTGATCCTTGTGGCGTTTCTTCGGAAGGAACCTGGTAAATACGATTATTTTCCTGTCTGTATACTCCCGAGATGAACCATTGATCCGGTGGGAATCGTCTTGGGACGTCTGAACGGGGCGATACTTGCTGTTCCGGGCCGGCGCTGCAGATGCAGCCGGAAGGGGATGTTCCAGCCTGGAACACGCTGGTTCTTTTATGAGTGCAGATAAGCTCCAGAAGCTCAACGTAGTGAAAGGGATCTTAGGAGCTGTCAGATTACAAATTCTGCATTATGAAAGGATTTGTTGCTGGGAGGGATTTGGGTCTGCTGTGCTGCTGGCGTTGGCTGTGTCAGTAAATAGATTACTCGTAACTCATTCATCTGAAAGTCAAGCTTGTACCGGGAGGCAGCGACTGTTGTAAATTATGTGGTCCTTTCTGCTTTTTTTTTTTTCTCTCCCAGAACAATAGTTGTAGTGTACTATCACGATTGCTGTTGTGTATGTCGGATGTATACTGGACTAGGAAACTTCTCCCTTGAAATAACTTAGACGGGAGAAGTTTGGAGGCTGTGTCATTCAAGCTTTCAGCCTCACATGCAAAGCCTCAGGAAGCTTTAGATTTTGCTTGGTAAGCGTGGAGACGCTGCGCATAGGTGCTGACCTACTACTTTGATAGAGCATCTGTTACAACAGTGAAGCTCTTGTGAGAAGTTCGTGGTTTGTCGAAGTCTGGTGAGCAAGGGAAGCTCGGATTTCTTTTGATGTAGTGTCACGGCGTGTATTTAGCGTGGTGGTGTAGTCGCACATTCACGAGGCAGAAGGAGGAGCTGGGGTTTTTTATGTTTTTCCCCTGGGAAAGGAGCAGGCCCCCATCCTTTGCCCTTCGTTACCGAGGCACCGCTGAGCGCAGCCACGGCACCGCTGCTCTCGAGGAGCTGCAAGCGACGGGATGGGCAGGGCGAGAGCCTCTTCAGCCACTCTGCCAGGGGCTTTCTGTGTCTGTCGTAGCTTTTCTGAGGTACTCAGGGCTTGGACACATTGTCAAAACCTGGGAAGTTTGAGAAGAAATAACCAACTGCCAGTCCTTCTCAAACGCGGGCGTTCTTTAGGTCTGACATAAAATACCCAAAAAAAGTATTTTGCTGTGTGTTGGTTTTTTAATTACTCTGCAAACAAGGCACAAAACTTCCTCAGCGTTTGGGTTTTGTTCATCAGGCTAGAGCGGCTATATCTAATACTGTTCTCGCTGTTGGTCAGCAGCTCCAGGATGTGCGATCACTGCCTGTCTCCCATCGCTCTCCCCAGCACCGAGAAAACTTTGAGTACAACCGCGTTCACCGAGCTCTGCGGTGCTGTTACCCTCTCAGTCCTTGGCTGGAAGTTCAGGTGGACTTCAGACTAAGAGGTCAGGAGGTTGTCCTTGGGACGTGGGCCACGCGTCTGCGAGGGTTGGTACGAAGAGCCAGGCACCCGGAGCGCATGCTCTGGTTTTGGCCTTGTGGCTGTAACTGGGGGTCGGGCTCACTGCTGCCTTAAGGCTTTCCCCGTTACCTGGAGATCATTCATTTTGTCTTGTTTTGTTTTCCTGGCTGAACGTCTCTGCCAAATGCTGGTTGTCAATAGCCAGCAGATGTCGAGAGCGGTGGCGGATTCAGGTGGGTCTGCAGAACTGATGGCGATCAGAAGCTCGGGGAGGAATTACGATCGAGACGTGACTTTTACATCCTTGAAAAGCGATTCTTCCGACGAGCGGGCAGAGCACGGAATGCAGGAGGGAGAAAATTGGGACCGCATTTAATAAAAGCAAAGCCTAACGCGTGGAGAGCAGCAGGAGCTATGCCAAGCGCAGACGACGCCTGTTTGCGCTTTCCCCCAACGTCCCTTGCCCTCTCTGCTATTCTAAAAGACTCGCTGCATTTTCTTGGACAGCATCTAGCAAGCTGCGTGCCATATAAAACCCGGCACGCTTGCAGACCCGATAACCGCGTGCATGTTTCTGTGCATAGAGCGCAGGGCTTTGCATGTCCCCGCGAGCGTGCCGCCAGCGCAGC